TGACCTGTTAACTCAAGCATGTTAGGAGCCTCTTGTAACTCACATTGGGAAAATGGGAATGATGATCCCTCGTAAGGTAATTTTGAGGATTAAATAAATCCATACAGATCAGATACTGTGCAGTGCTTCACGTATGGGAAGCACCCAACAGTAGCTGAAATTATTATTAGAGGGTTTGGGTTAATGTTCTTTTTTTCCCCTGTTTTTCCAAATAAATGTAATTTCCATCAAAATATTTGTTTTAAAAATATCAAATTCATAACATTCTATATAATATCATTCCAGACTACATTATTTTTAGAATTTCTGTAAATGGTTGGTGTTCATTTGATGTGTTCTTTTTGGTAAAGGTATAGTAGAAGAGTCTGGTATTTATGTTCCAGTCATAGCAAGTGTTCATTACATAATATGCTCGGTAAAATAGTCCTTTTTGAGAAAGTTCTAATAGTACTAAGTGTCAAAACACACATGCACATATGTAAAAAGGTAATTTTCAAAAAATAAGATCCAGATGTAAAGATATGAAAATCTTTTCCACCTGCCCAGCTTTAAGTCCTATCTCTCTCTACATGTATTTATAGCTAAAATTTATATATAAAGGACTGATAAAATCCCCTGATTTAATAGAGCTGTACCATCAGCTTCAATTAATGAAATAATGGCTACATACTATTTCACATAACATTTAACCAGTTATCTGTTGTTGAATATTTATTTTGTTCCTTAATTTTCTTTATTATATGATCCAATAAAAACCTTGTTCATAAAGTTATTTTTGTGAATCCCTGATTATTTCCCTTTGAAAATTTCTGCAAGTAAAATTGCTGGATCAAAGGATATAAACATTTTTTTAGGATTTTGGATACACATTTCCAAACTGCCTCTGGGAAGGGACCAGCATGCACTTTTCAGTAATGGTATGAGGGTCCTTTTGGGAAACCGTCCACCAATGTGAATATTCAATGGGTAGACGTAATATGCTTTTTTAACCTTTTATAGGACCTTTGATTTAAAAATGATCAATGATAAAGTATTTTAAAAGTATTTTTGATCATGTAATTCCTTATTTATTTTACAGCTACACCATTGTATTCATCTACTATGCGTTCTGCTTGGTGTTAATGATGCTGCTCCGACCTCTGCTGGTAAAGAAGATTGCCTGTGGGTTAGGGAAGTCGGATCGATTTAAAAGTATTTACGCTGCACTTTACTTCTTCCCCATTTTAACCGTGCTTCAGGCAGTTGGTGGAGGCCTTTTATGTAAGTTTCTTGGGTAAATAGCTATATATTTATTATATGTGATCAACAATGTCTTCTCTGAGTATAATTTTGTAGCTTTTTCTTTAAAATGGAATTTTTTAATTCTTGAAAATAAACTACAGTATATATTTTTGCTAAAACATATAATAAGCCTTATTTTTTTTTTAAATCATGATTTTTTTTGGAATGAAATAGAAATTCTCAGGAAATCAGTGGCAGCTAACCAAAACTGATTTTTATTTAGAGAATATTTTGTATTTGAAGTTTATAACCTAAACAGAAAGATTTTTAAAACCCAAGTATAAATTAGAAAACAAAAACTGGTTTTTGCATATAATATATGGAAATTACTCTTGGTAATGTATACTATTTATCAAGTTAGATTTTAGATTTCTAAGTTTCTTAATGAAAACCTTTCAGATACAGTAAAATAATCTTCAGTATATTCTTTATTTTAATACTAGAGGCCTGATGCACGAAATTCGTGCACTTGGGGGAAGGGGGAGGGCCCTCAGCCCAGCCTGCACCCTCTCACAGTCCGGGAGCCCTCGGGGAATGTCTGACTGCTGCAGAGGCGGGAGAGCCTCCTGCCGCTGCGCTCGCCATCCATGAGCCCGGCTTCTGGCTGAGCAGCACTCCCCCTGTGGGAGCACACTGACCGCCAGGGGGCAGCTCCTGCGTTGAGCGTCTGCCCCCTGGTGGTCAGTATACATCATAGCAACCGGCCATTTGGTCGATTTGCATATTACCCTTTTATTATATAGGATAGCCATTCATTCATTTATTCAGCAACCATTTAGACTAAATTGTTATGCAAAGGAAGAATAAGAAAAAGTTGGTGTTAAAGGGTTCACATATTAGTAGGAAAGCTGTAAGTAGCTGAGGGGACATAGTGTGGTACTTATTTGAATATGTGACATTGACTGGGATTTTGACATTGACAAGGATGTTAGATACCATCTTTTATATGGATGTTAGATACCATCTTTTATACACTGCAGAGCCAAAAACATTTACTGTCTGGCCCTTTACAGAGAGCCTTTGCTGACTCCTGCCTCAGGGCACCGAGGCTTCCGTCTCTCACAGGACTGATTGAGAAAGTTTTCAATTATGGGGAGAATTAAACTTTTGAAATTTTTTGATGGTTTATTTCAAAAATTTGCTTAATTTTCAACATAATGCCAATGTTTGTTTTTCAGATTACGCCTTCCCATACATTATATTGGTGTTATCTTTGGTTACTCTGGCTGTGTACATGTCGGCCTCTGAAATAGAGGTAGGAAAAATGTTTTCCTTTGTTAGAGTTTTTTTTTATGGGTTTGACAATTGAATATCAGTATAAAACATATGATATGACATAGCACAACTGATTGTTTTAGTAATCTTTGGCTAGTTGATGTCATTACGTAGCTTATGAAAGGTTGTATACTAGACTGTATTTGCTTGGGAAATTAGTGAAGTAGTCAGGCTCAACTATCTAGCATGTTGGAGAAAAAAATCACATAATTTACTCAGAAAATATTTATTATGAAATGTTGAAAACAACACCATTTTGAGGGAAACATAAAAATGCTTTATGATATATAGAACTAATTTTACAGTATATTTTACAATGGCAACACTGTCATCAGTAATTATACTGTACATTCTCCACCTTTCTATATTTTGTCTCCAATTTTATTTTCTTGATTATGGATGTTTACAGTTGTCCTCTAATATCTATACTATTTAACACTAACAGTAACATTACTTCTGATACTGTTTCTGTTTTGAGATACCCATTTGTGCTTCTAACTTTTCAGTATTTCTGTGGAAGGTCACTGTTAGAAAGGACTCCTTATTTTGAGGCTGAACTCTGAAGGAATAGCATGTCAGTGGCTTAGTACTATTTCACCCGAGCTTGCTAACCTAGTGCCCATGCACTGTCTTTGCTGCCCACCACACATGATAAGACATGTGCCTTCTCATAATTCTTAACCTTAACCCAGGGATATTATATTTTAATTTAATCCAGAGATTAAAGTACATTTAATTTAATCAAAAGCTTGATCCAGAGAAAGTAAGTTGTTAACTATTTTGGAATGCTTGCTGTTGATGCCTCTCTTTCAGTTCATTAGTGAAAAGGTGAGAGAGAATGACTGACAGGAAGAATAATCTAGTAGAGGAACAGACAGAATATTTTGATGTTGATTATTCAATTGTTTCCATTTCCCCTTTATAATCTTTAATCATTGTCGAAATATGTATAATTAAAGAAGATAAGCAAATTAGTTTTAGCATGTTTTTCAATGCTAGGGAAATATTTGAATAAAATGAAGTTTGTGAATTTGTTTATTATCCATAACTACTATAGATAGTAGTTATGTTAGCTTGAAACTTATTTGTATCCCTGCCCCTGGGAATCTCTCCTATATAAAATGTTCATGTACTTCAATTAGGACTCCACCCATAAATCCGAGAGAGAGACCTGGATCAGGAAGACAGTCTATAAGTCTAGCTTTAGGCAAGTTAAAGAGCCATTTAGTAAGAGAAAGTTAGTAATGGAATATTGCACATTCCATTTCAGTATGTTTATTAGCACATTCAGCTATTACTTTAATAATAATTTGGGCCTTCCCATTTCTGCATATTATAGAGCTGTGTTCAAGAATAAAAAGAAACCAGAGTAGGTCCCGTGTCATTTCTGCTCCCTTCTACCGGTCCAGGCAGCAGGCCCCAGGAGAGCTGGAGGTTAGGGAAGCTGGTGTGTGCGCCGTTTCTCACCTGTAGACGCAGCTGCAGGGCAGGAGGAAGGCACGTCACGTGGCGTTCCCCTTCCAGCTCATTCCTTCAGAAGCAGCCCTAGTGCTTCCCGCATTGACTCCGGTCCTGTGCTGCCTCAGGACTTACGTGACCTCAGCCAGGAAGCCTCACCCTGCTCCTCGGCAAGTGTAGAGGCTAGCAAGTGCTCTCAGGTCCCTTTAGCTCAAAGTCTGTGATTGAGGTTATGACTTTTAAATAATACATTTAAATCAAAATATAAGTGATTATCTGTTTCTCTCTTCTTCCTTTTATAAAATGATACAGAACTGCTATGATCTTCTAGTCAGGAAGAAAAGACTCATCGTTCTCTTCAGCCACTGGCTACTTCATGCTTACGGGATCATCTCCATCTCCAGAGTGGATAAACTCGAGCAAGACTTACCCCTTTTGGCCCTGGTACCCACGCCAGCCCTTTTTTACTTGTTCACAGCAAAGTTTACTGAACCTTCACGGATACTCTCAGAAGGAGCCAATGGACACTGAATATAACATGCCAAAACCCCTAAGAAGTATTCTTAATAAAAAAGTAAAGAAATTAAAAATGTATTAGTTCTCTTCTGTCATACATGGGAATGAGATTGTCAATATGTTGAAATGTTTTTGGTTGGTTTGTTTGATTTTGTTTTTGACCTAAGACTTTATGGTTAGACTTAGAAAATACAAACACTATAATACTCTCTTACATAGTATAATACACTATCCCCGCTTATAGCACACTATTATATGACAGGAATACTATCTCTTGCAACAAGTTGGTTATTGTTTAGAGCAAAAACATGCTTCTGTTTTTATTAAATAATAAGTATAATATGGAATTCTTAGCTTTGGCACGATTGTACTTGCCTGATGTGTTTCAACCTGGCTTTCAAGTGTAATGAATTATAAAGACACATACCTGTGGGGTCTGATAGCAAGCATGGAAATGTAAAGTATGTTGTTTTTTTGTTTTCTGTTTATTTTCACCAATATAGTATTTTCATCAAAAATAGAGCATAATTTGTATAACAGGTTTTCTGTTTATAGGTAGTTTGGTTGAAAATATCTTCATGTTATTCCTGTTTCTGTAAAGAAAAACAGTAATGAAAAACCTGACAAAAAGTCTCAAATGTTCTGACATTTGTATTTGCCACACTAATTGTGGAAATTAAAAATATTAGGTAGTGAGATTAATGTCTTTTTCCCACGTGAATAAATACATGTGCTCACATATTTCCTTCCTCTTACATCTTATTTAAAAAATTTGATTTTAGACAGAGGAGGGAAGAGAGAGAAACATCAATCGGCTGTGCAGAGATTGAACTGGCAACTTAGGAACGTGCCCTGACCGATCGAATCTGCATCCTTTTGGTGTATGGGATGATGCTCCAACCAACTGCGCCAGCCAGCTGGGGCTTATATATTATTTTTTAAGGATGCATACACATGCCACATTTTTTTGATCCTGGGACACATTTCTCTCCACATTGGGACATCTCTGAATTAGGCTGCACCACACAATTGATGGCTTCTTAGATTTAACAAAATGCAGAATCTCTACAGCATAGGAACAGTTTTACTGTAGTTGTTGATGGTATGCTGCTTGTCGATTTTTATACTCTGAATAGACTTATGGTTGTAATCATGGAAATAAGATTTTTATTTACTGATTCTGCTATTGGTGGGGGTTACCCAAGTTTGTTAAATCTCAAACTTTAAGACTTTCATTGACAGTTGCAAATTGTGAAAGAAGGTGCACTCACTTTCTCTGTAGTTTTGTTTATGCCTTTTGAATTCACAGCAGTTGTATCCTTGGAATTATTTTGTTATTTTTTCTTCGTTACTATTTTTTTCACAATACGTGCAGCCAATGGAAAACGGACTTTTTTGGTACGTGTCTGTTTGGTCGTCTTTTCTGTAGGAATAAAAATAAAATTGTAAAAATTCTCTATGTATTTCAGACAGGTTTGGGTGGTTATTAGTATCCATTAAAATTCTAAGTTGCCCAAAGAATCCCTCCGTTGGGCAACTGCACAGTTGGAAAGGGGGAGGCCTGGGGGGTCATGTATCCGATGACCAGGACTGTTCTTTTCCCACCACATTTGGAGCCATCTTAAGGCATCTTCTCTGATGTTCTATTCTAGCAGAAAAGTGTATGCAAAACGAGAAATCATGCAGGTAATTATGATTACAACTCAAAGGCAAAGACTTTCAGGAATACTTAATACATATCTGCATTTTTAATTTGCGCTGTGAAGAACAAGAGGAATAATTCATAGCACCTGTGGCTGCTAATGTTAGTAATTAGCTTGTTAAAACGTGGTTATTAAGAAATATACCCAAACTACCCTTGTCTAGCTCAACTTTGTCTTGACGTAGGTCCTTGTAGTATATTACAACTCACTGCTATAGTAATAACTGTGCTAACCAGTGCTGGATAGGTTATTTAAAGTCAAAATATTTTCTGATTTGGGTCAGTGTATCCATTTGTTACCTTGTTACCTATTTGCCTAAAACCACTGGTTTGCAAGACTTGACTGCACATTGGAACCAGCTGGAGAGACTTTCTAAAAACATGCCTGGGTCCCAGCCCCAGAGACTCATGGTGAATTGGTCTGGGGTATGGGCCAAAGAGTGTAAAACCTTCTCCAGGTGCTTCTAATGTTTGAGAATCATTGTCTAAACTCTCTTCCTAGTTCAGATTTTAATTTTTCCAAGAGACCTTTTCACAATTTTTAGGCAAATGATTTTTTAAATTATTTCTTACTGAAATTTTGATTCTGCTAGATTATATCTGCGCTCTTTTCCATTATTAAATGATCAAAATACAGATAATTGTATCAAGTTCATGTCCATCACAATAACAAAAAAATAATTATATGATATTTGATCTTTATTTTAAAATATCTCTTGACCTGAAAAGTCTCTACAGAGCAGACATCAAGTTAAAATATTTGGTTAGTATACAGATTATTTATCTGCATTCAAAATTATAGTACAATTCAAGGACTTTTGGAATTTTAAAACATTCTTTTTAATGCTTTAAAAAATCCATATTCAGTTGCTATTTGGTTTAGGTATACACTACAAATTAACTTATTTACTTGTTTACAAGAAAGAATATTAAGGCAAAAAGTAACGATCTTAGATTTCAGGATGAAGCCTGGTACTTTCTGACAAGCTAACCCCCAGCTCTTGCCATCTGGAACCCCAGATCTCCACTCAGCCATGCTGCTGCAGTTCTTGGCCAGGTGATCGGGGCTGCTCCTTTGGGAAGACATCCCTGTGTATTCCCAACACCCAAAAAGACTCCGACACCCCACTTTACCTTCCCCCATCGCCATTCATTAGGAGGAGTCCCCGGGATTCTAATCGTCTCTTGTCTCGTTCTCACAGTATGTGCACTCTGACATTCATACTGGGTGTCATTCAACTCGGGCAGCATTTGTTCTGGTGCCAGACTCAAAGGTGCTCACTCTGCTAATTAAGCTAGTGCAGTGTTCCTGGAGAGGGTCCGGACCTGCTGAGCTGCAGTGACATGATGTGTCCAGAAGAGGGCAGGGGAGAGCTGTTGAGCTGAAAGAGATCAAGGCCTTGTCTAGAAGTCCCATCTGTGAGAGAAGCCATTCAAAGCTAGGAGATTACAGGTGGCTCAGAGGTGGCCAGGTAATTCCCGGGACCAAAGACTTGTCTAGAAGTCCCATCTGTGAGAGAAGCCATTCAACAAGAACATTTCAAAGCTAGATTACAGGTGGCTCAGAGGTGGCCAAGTAATTCCCGGGACCAAAGCTGACCTTTATCACCTCAGGAGGGTGGTAGGCTTCAGGGATCTGATAAGTGCTTAATAAAGGTCTAATGCTTTCTTACTGCTGCTATCACTTACAGTTTACAACCAGGGAGGCTAAATAGCACGTAAGAAACAAAGCTGCAATGTGAGCCCACATGGTGCCACTGCTCCAGGAGCAAAAATCAGTGGAGCTAAGGGGGCAGCGATCTTCCTTCAGATCACAGCTCCATTTCCAGTTCTTCAGAGACGTCTCCCGATCCCTAACTAGGGCAAGTCTCCCTCTTAGGTTCTTAAGTTCTTAGGCCCCTCTTCAGGACACTTATGACACTGACATTTTACATACATCTGTGCAATACCCGATTCTCCCACCACACCGGCGGCGGACCAACTACACCTGAGGGGCAATTCTGCTCCCCTGGCAGAGTCAAGTCGTTGAGTAGGAGACCTTTCATGGCTGGCAAAGCCAAAAATATTGTCTGGCCCTTTAAAGTTTGCCGACCTCTGGACCTGACTGATTTCCACTGGGCAGGGACTAGACCTATTTTCATTCCCTATTGTAACCCCACAGCCTGATAGAATAGTTGGCACAGAATAGACATTTGATAAGTACTTGTTGAATACAGTTTAGAGTTGATAGTGAAACATGGATGGAACTTAACAGCAGGACCAACCAGAGGAAGGCAAATACGCTCACTGAAGGCTCCCCCAGGAGGCTCTGCGTCAGGCTGGCCGGCCAGCTTCCCCAGGCCCACAGCCTCCATCCGCGCACCTGGAGGCTCCTCTCTTTCACAGTAAACCTTGCCCACTACCCTCCCTGCCTCTGAATCTCTGCCAAATGCAAGTGGTGGTGACTGCCCGCCTTGCTGTCCCAAGTTCTACGCCTCGGCTTTTCAATGCAGTCTATTTAAATCCGCCCCAACACAAAGATTCCATTAGGCTTCAGACAAAAATGGAAGATGCGCTCACGAGAAAATAATGCAATTGACACTTAGAGATGATTTAGCTCCTCAAATTCCGCCTGATCCACAGTTGCTGGGGATGGCCTGGCCTTGCAAAGAAAATACAAAGTGAGGCAAGGCCCACCAGGGACCCTTGAAGCACTCAGACCTAAGAAGTATCACCAGGCACCAGCAGGAAGACCAAGACAGCTTCCTGGCTGATACGAAGGGGCTTTCCCACAAAACGCTTCATTGGCTGCCTAAGCATTCCTTCTCCTGTCAGCAATACCCTCAGAACACTGGTTTTTAGCAAATATTGAAACGGTGTTTAATCCCATCACTTTTTCTCATCTTAACTTTTATTATATTTCATTTTACTTTCTACACCCCACCTTTATAAGTACTTATCTAATGAAGATGCTCTTTAAAATTAAACCTTAATGACCTCTACTAAATCCATATACTTGCTGAATGACTTTTTTTTTTTGCATTTCGCAACTCTATCGCTCTCCTGCACTCTATTCTCCTGCCTCCTCCCCAACCTTCGCTCCCTGCCTGGGACCCCCTGACACGCCTGTGTGAGGGCTTGGCTCCACTGCCCTGGACAGGGCTCTGAGTTAGAGAAGGAATTAAAGAGGAAGCTGATAGTCCTCTGGAGCAGCGGTTCTCAACCTGTGGGTCGCGACCCCTTTGGCGGTCGAATGACCCTTTCACAGGGGTCGCCTAAGACCATCCTGCATATCAGATATTTACATTAGGATTCATAACAGTAGCAACATTACAGTTATGAAGTAGCAACGAAAATAATTTTATGGTTGGGTCACAACATGAGGAACTGTATTTAAAGGGCCAGGAGGATGAGAGCCACTGTTCTGGGGAGACCCGGCTGCTTGATCCTGAGGGGACCAATCCTGCGCTATAGGATGTATTCACATCTCGAGAGCCCCAGAAGGCATCCCTAGACCAGGAAGAAAAGGTAAACTGATGCTCAGTATCTCCTGTTTATGAAGACAAGGAAATGTGTGAAAGAGTTTGGAAAGACTGCTTTGGGAAGTGTTCAAAATAAGAGTTTAAAACATCAGAAATAAGTTGAGGTTCCGTTACAGAGAAAACTCTCTTAGGTAGAAGGGAGACTGTCCGGCCCTGCCGTGTTCGACCTCGCAGGTGAGAATCGGTGCTCACCTGGATGTCTGGGGCATGATTAGGGGTGGGTTGTTGGCCATAACTAAGTTACTAGTAGGCACGCTTATCTGGGGGAGGGCTTTCTTGATACCACCAGCTATGTAAACGAGCAGGAAGTTCTTGGTTACCCAAAGCTCTTGAGGTGCCCCTTACCAGGAATTTCCACAGTGGCTAGGAACCGCAACTCTTGAAGATTCCCTTGTAACCAAATACTGATTTTCTCAATTTTTTCGTCTCTTTCACACAGCCTGTCTATTAGACTTTTTATTTCTTGCAAAGTATCTTCACAATCACCTACAAATTCCTTTAAAAAAAAAAGTAGCATATTTTTGGGTGTGTATGAATTGCAATACAATAAAAAAACATATTCTGTCCAGGAAATCATATCCAAGACAAAAATATATATATGCAAAATTGGTATTAGTTGTGCAAAATAAATATGTATACACAGCAAATTCGCCAAGTTCTATAAGAGATCTCAGAAGAAATGGATTAGTAAATCACTGAACTAAAAAATGTTTCCAATGGTTAATTTTCTTATGGAGCTGTAATTGACATAGAACATTACATTGTTTGGTAGGTAAATGCTTTTAGAAATAGGATACTTACGGAGGTAAAACAAAAAACTCACCTTTAAAGTGATCTGCAATTCTGCCCACAAATTCAAATATTGTGCTAAAATAAAGATTTTCAAAATGCACAGGTTACTGAAACAATTGGAACATTTTTATCAAAGAAATGCTATTTGTGTCTCGAAATTTTTTTGTGTAAAAAATTTCAAAATGACAGAAGAATTAGATCAGACTTGCCCTCCCACTGCCAACAAGCAGAAAATGGGACCATGTCAGGCAGGTGGGTGAGGGGTCTTCAGATGGCTCCAGCCCCCAGCTGCTGAGTTACCCCGGACAGCAAGCTGCCCCAGCGGAAGTCATGTGGAGCAGACCCGAGTTGTCTCCACCAAGTTCTGACCAAATTGGCAATTTGTGAGCAAAGTAAATGATGTGCAATATCTGTTACACTGCAATATGCTCCCCTTTCTTCTCTCTTTAAAAATCAATAAAAACCATATCCTTGGTGAGGATTTAAAAACAAATAATAAAATAAAAAAACACTTGTAGATAAATAGTAACCCCAAACTGGAAAGAATTCAAATGCCCTTCAGCTGGTGAATCCTATATAATAAAAGGCCAGAGGCCATAAACGTCAGGACCAGAACGACCACTAGACCACTCACCACGAGGTGGCATTGACCACCTCTCGGTCCCTACACCACTGGTCCACGAGCAGCAGC